CGTTTCAGGCTCCCAAGGCTTCACAGTGATGAGGTCTATCAAGGAGTCTGTTCAGCTCTTTGATGACTCACTCACAATTACATCTTTGCACAACTCCAGGATTTTCAGTCCTGTCTTTAAGGGATTTAAAATGAAGCTGAGATCATCTGCTGCTCTCAGTTGTGCTTCAGACAACCACAGCTGCTTGCAGCAGGAGGTCTGTGAATGGATTCTGTTCTACGTTTGCTTTTTTTCTGGTGGGAACACCCAAGAAGCAGATGCTCACTTCTGCTGAGGTATGTCAGCGGAGGACTCTTTCCACATAAGTGATTTCTGCTTGGTCGGTGCTTAGTTTGAAAATCACATCTTTAAAGGAACCCTTGTCAATTTTTCCATTTAAAAGCCATGGATGCAAACATGGCAGTGTGCAGTATGCTTATTTTCAATTATACTGGGGACAAACGATCCCAAGTGACTTTAGCAGCTCCTTTCTTCCCCACTTCTGATTGGCCTCCATTCACCCTTCCCAAGGACTTGAAGTTTTGAGAAGGAAGTCTGGAATTTTCTTTTTATCCAATTTGCTTTGGAAAAACGTGCTGTCATTTGTGGTGAAAATCCATCAGTGGAATCCAGTAAGATTTGGGATGTGGTGCTTGGGGACACGATTTAGCGAAAGGTTGTTAGTGTTAAGGTAGGATGGTTGGGTTGCAGTTGGACTCAATGATCTTGAGAGTCGTTTCTAACCTGAGTGATTCTATGATTCTATGAGGTGACTGGGATTGTGGATGAAGGAAAAGCTGAGACGTGTTTACCTTGACTTGTTCAGCCTGGAGAAAAGAAGGCTGAGGGGTGACCTCATTGCGTCCTTCCAGGACCTAAAGGGAGCCTACGAACAGGAGGGGAATCATCTCTTGGAAAGGGTTTATGACAGCAGGACAAGGGGAAATGGTTTTAAGTTGAGGGAGGGAAGATTTAGGTTGGATGTCAGGGGGAAGTTCTTTACAGAGAGAGTGGTGAGGTGCTGGAACAGTGGCCAAGAGAGGTTGTGGATGTGTTCAAGGCCAGATTGGATGGGGCCCTGAGTAGCATGGGCTGCTATTAAATGGGGAGGTTGGTGGCCCTGATTGCCACATCAAGCAGCTTCACGATCCTTGAGGTTCCTTCCAACCCAAGCCATTCTATGGTTCTATGATTCTTGAAGTCCCTTCCACCCGGGCCATTCTA